GTATTTCGGGCCAAGGTCTGGCACAGGATGTGTGGGGTTGGTGTCTGGAGCCATTTTACGTCATCTCTGATGTTGCACCTATCCTGAGATAGTATGGAATGATGTTTTCACTGGTTGGTTTTACAATTCCTAGATTTTGTTGAGACTTAGTAGTCTCAAAGAGGGGAATGATGGGGAATATACGTATTTACCTGATTTGTTTAATATTAATAGTTAATAATTAATATGCTTAACAATAGTAGAGACATTTCTTAACTAACAATCCTGTGCTTTTCATAAGGATGGTTCCCTATAGCTCCCTGCAGCTGGTCTGGGCGTGTAGTCAAGGACATGGGATAGAGATAAACTTGAGGAACAGATATACCTGTATTGTTTCAATTTCTCATTGCTTCTGAGTAACCTGGTCACACAGTCAAGACAGAGCCTCAGAATGACCACAGTTTTTCAGTTGATCCTGTCTTTTACTATATTCCAAGGGCACAGCTGTGTGGAGATATGGCCAGTAACGGAGCTAACGTTATTACTTGTTTGTGCGCTATGACCTGCCAGGGAAGGGAGTGCTAGTATAAAAAGCAGAGATTGTTCTAGACACTTTGCAGAACTTATGAAGTGCTATACAAATCCCGTTGACTCTGTATTAACTTCTGCCTGCAATTGCATAACTAAATATATTTTACATATACTCAGAAGCCGTTGTCTGTGTCATTTTCTAAAGTTTAAAGTTTGTTTAAGAATAAGAGAATATCAGCACTGTGCAAAGAATCCTCAACAACAGCCATTAAACTCTGTAACTGTTTTAAAGTCACCATTGGTCTCATGGTGAAATCCCTGAGCGGTTTCCTTCCTCTCCTACAACTGAGTTAGGAAGGACGCATATATCTTTGTAGTGACTTGGTGTATTGATACACCATCCAAAGTGTAATTAATAACTTCATCATGCTCAAAGGGATATTCAATGTCTGCTTCATTAATTTTTACCCATCTACCAATAGGTGCCCTTCTTTGCGAAGCATTGGAAACACTCCCTAGTCTTTGTGGTTAAATCTGTGTTTGACATTTACTTCTCGACTGAGGGACTTTACAGATAATTGTATGTGTGGGGTACAGAGATGATGAAATCATGTTAAGCAGTATTATTGCACACAAAGTAAGTCCATGCAACTTATTATGTGATTGCTTTTTTTTTTTTTTTTTACTTATTTAGGCTTGCCATGACAAATGGGTTGAATACTTATTGACTCAAGACATTTCAACTTTTCATTTCGTATTAATTTGTAAACATTTCTAAAAACATAATTCCACTTTGATATAATGGGGTATTGTGTTTAGGTCAGTGACAAATCTCGATTTAATCCATTTTAAATTCAGGCTGTAACACAACAAAATATGGAAAAAGTAAAGGGGTGTGAATACTTTCTGAAGGCACTGTATACAGACACTGTAGATGACATGCAGACTTACAGTATTACAAGATGTTAGTATTACTAACGTCTTGTCACTCACTGCGTCCCCAGCCGGAGGTTCCACAGACTGAGGAGAGCCGCTACCTCCTGTCTCTGCGGGTGCGGAGCCTTCTCATCCTCCAGAAAACATGTACAAGCGCTTCCTCCACTGCATCCAGGGGATGCACCACGACTCCCTCACTGGCAGGGTGGCCAACCTGCTCGCTGCTGGGGCCCTGACAGGGGTCACACTAACCCTAAGCACCAGGGTGACCCTCACCGTGCGCCACATGCCCAAAGTCATGAGGGCCAACCTGAGGAAGTAACATTTGAGGACTTGGAGTTCTGTACTTGGGAAAAAATGTACACCATGATACAGACTGATTTCACTGACTTGATTATGTCATTCATTGCCTGGATCCTTTATAAAATGTATGAATTATAATGCCAAAAGACACTATAAAATACAAGACCCTAAGATCTGATTAACCTTGGTTACCTTGGTTCATGGTAACCCATTGTATGTACAGTATGTTTGATCAGGCGAGGTGTTATCCAAGGCTTCATGCCGCAAAGCCACATTTTCTTCACTTTTAGCTCTCTTTGTCTTAAAAATATATAATACCTCACTGTCTCACATGAGTAATATGTCTTATTGAGCAAGGAATGCTGTTGAATGTACTAATGTACTAATCTTTAGCCAGCCTGTCAATATAGTGACGTTTTGGTCCACACTTTGCAGTTATAATCAATCACGAGCTCTCACATAGTCAACGTTGTGTGAGATGTTGCCGACAATTTCCCACGTCAAATCATCCTTTTAGGTTTTGCTTGAAACTTGCTCACATGTTGTGCAGATAAGTATTTGACATGTTTCAAGAGAAATGTACTGTCTTGTTTTGTATGCTTTGTACAAAATAATAAAATGCAGGACGACAGGATATTTATAAACGTAGCTCTTTATTAACTAGCTATAACTGGCATGTCCATGTGTCTCTGGCCATGATCATCTTTAGAATGACCTCACCACCTGGGTGGTCTTAACCAATCATAGCACAGTATGATATGACAGTATAATGCATCCAATTACAATTCAGTATGCTGACACATATGAATATTACATCCCCCTTCTTTAAAAAAAAAAGAAAAAATATGTAGAACAATAAAGCGTTTCTTTTGACTATATGCTCTGTAGTTTGAACTCGAGGTAAGTAACCATTTAAACTGCACCAACTGCATCAACATAACAGACTGAAACAATGATTCAGCATACTGTTACTTTTAGAACAAATATTTCTCAGCAACTCAGCTTTTCACTGTAGCAATGACATCTCAACATATCAAACAAATACCATACCAAAGCATTTCAAGTTAACTTTCAATAACAAGTTTACAGTCTGGAACTATTTTAGGGCAGCGATCCGCCTACACCCTTTGACATTTCACAGGTCTAGGACAGCTCTAGGCTTGACCTCTCTTCCCGACCTTGTGTGATATGAAGCTGAGCATGCTTCTGTGTCAGTCAACAGTTCTTGTGGTGTTGCAGGTAAGTATGGTGTATGTTGTGTTGTGTCTGTGTTTAGTCCACCCCGTTCTCTTTCAGGGGAACAGTTCATCTCGTCAGTGTGTTGTTCTTTTGTGTTCAGTAGGTGACGACGATTGCGGCGGTACACCGCTCCTTCTGCGGTGCGAACGAGATATGAACGTTCAGTTCAGTGGTGGCAGTGGTCTGGCTGACCTGTCGTAGTATCGCTTTTGCTGTTGTTGTCTCTGTGCACGTTTTGCATGCACTTCCTTGTAGCTGACGAACTCAGGTTGCAGCTGCTGGTTGGTGCTGGGAAGGATTGAGCGAAGTCTGCGGCTCATCAACAGCTGGGCTGGTGATTTGAAGTTGTCAACTGGAGTGTTGCGGTATTCAAGGAGACTGAGGTAGGGGTCTCTCTTGTCTGCTTTTGCTTTGTCCATGAGTGATTTAGCGATCTGCACAGATTTTTCAGCAAGGCCATTACTTTGAGGGTAATGTGGGCTTGTGGTGACGTGTGTGAACTCCCATGCTTTTGTGAAGGATTCAAACTCATTTGATTCGTAACAGGGCCCATTGTCAGATATTAAAGTATATACAATGGCATGCCTGGCAAAGGCTGCTTTCAGCTTGTGTATCACAGCTGCAGATGTGGTGCTGTGAAGCTTGTCGAGTTCGAAGTATCTGCTGTAGTAGTCCTCTTCACTGACGGAGAGTCAGTTAGAATCCAGGAGCATGGCTACTGGAAGCCAGCAGTCGTCATCCCACTTCTGACACCATGTCTTGCTTTGTATGCTTTGTACAAAATAATAAAATGCAGGACGACAGGATATTTATAAACGTAGCTCTTTATTAACTAGCTATAACTTGCATGTCCATGTGTCTCTGGCCATGATCATCTTTAGAATGACCTCACCACCTGGGTGGTCTTAACCAATCATAGCACAGTATGATATGACAGTATAATGCATCCAATTACAATTCAGTATGCTGACACATATGAATATTACATGTTCCATTGTTCTTCATAATTTTTTGTTTTTCATATTTTTGTACAGATAACCATACACACATGTTACAGATGATAGTATTTAATTTGTGGTTCAATCGGGATTGTGGCAAAGATGTTCTACTTGTGGTCAAGTTAAACTTGGCGGTAAAGACATCCCTTTTCTTTTCATTATCCACTCAGGGTCGGGGGGACACATCTAGCGAGTTTGATTGACAGCGTCAGGGGGCGTTTACTAACTTGGTTCATTTGCGTAACATCCTTTCTCTTTAGAAGTTCACTCACTGGCACCACCAAGTCTTGGTAAGAAGCAACCCCTAACATGTTGAATACTCGTGATTAAGTAGATGTTATAATAGTGTTAGCCTCGTTTGCTAATATAAGATTTGCCTGCAACCAGTAACGTCAGCATTCCTACTAACAGTAGATTAGTGCACTGCTAAGTAACGTTAGCTGCTCCCTGTCCAGGCAAGCTAGCTAATTAGCTGGTTTGTAGGCTTGCAAAAAAGGCCATCCGTTTTTTTAAACCGAAATCCATCCTAGAAAATACATTCGTAGCATTGATGTTGTGTGGCTACCAGGCATTTGTCCAACCTACATTAGCTGTCATAGTTTGTAAGCTAACGTTAATTTAGCTGGCTACATTATTCTGGTCGGCTAATTAGCCATCTCTAACTAGCTGTCGTAGGTTTAACATAAAAAAATATATATCATTCGCTGAGTTATCTAATTTAGGAAAAATTTACTTTTTAAGCAGACCAGCCAATTTGGAAACGTTAAAATTGGCAAGGCGTCGTTGGGTGAAATATTTGCAGTGGGCGTGACCTCCATGTGTCAACACTGAGTCATTAGCCTGCACTGTAGGCTTCCGTTATTCTTTAAATTGCCATATGATTCCCATTATGGCTGTTTATGACTATTAATTAATAATTAGTGCTATTTCAAACTACTTTAGAAAGGAATACGTTTTTAATGTTTATTTTTTCTCCCTTCTACAGGTTGACAAATTAAATTAAATTGATTGAAGATGTTTCTGGCCAAAAGACTCATTGGTGGCATTCTTGATGTTGTAAGGTAAGGATCTGGCTGTAGTATTAAGGACCTCTTCTAAACCATTTGCGCTTATAATGTATAAACAATGTTCACCACAGGAGTTTTCTGGCGCTTTTTGGGTTGTGTGGGTGCAAGGTAAATGAAAGTAGTCTAATCTTAGGACTTTGGCACTGCTTAAATTGGTTCTATCATTGCATAGACTTTCAGGTATGGATAATATATTATCACTGTGCCGTTTTAATCAGTTTGGAATCAAGAGAGAATACAATATGTTACTCGTTCAAGCTATGTTGGACAGGAGCATGATTCTTCAGCTAGTAATAACTGCAGCTATTACCACTGGCCAAGTCAATCAATGCCTTTATATCTCTGCATAGCTATCACTCTTAGGAATGATACCCAGTGACTAACCTATTCATCTCCCCTGTGTCCCCTGCAGCAATATTGATCCAGCTGCTTTTGTGCCCTCTGACCCAGTGAGTGGCATTGCTATTTTATCATTTAAGTTATCACCAGAAAACACAGTATCGCTGAAAATGTAAATTTGTTACGGATAGTAGTAACCTGAACCATAAATGCCTAATTTCCTAACGTTGTTATCCTGCAGCCCGCACCACGAAGGCCACTTGCGTACGCAGAGCAGAATGAGAGTGGTGAGGAAAAACAGTTTCGCAAAGTCTTCCAGCAGTTGGCTGGAGATGTGAGTACGATATTTCTCTGCCACTACTCCCTCACCACATACCTATTCTGGTTAACCTTCATAGTACCTCTGTAAAAGTAAACACCTTGTGGCAATCATTCACATTGCCATTAAAAAGGCACTGTGACTGCTGAAATGCCTTTGGTGCAGTATGATCTTCATTTAATGGCTCAAATTCACTATTGAATACTGTGAATAGACACATTATGCATGTTATGCTTCGATGTTGGGAATAATTAAACTGAATAACTTTTCCTTCAGGACATGGAGGTGAGCCCCACCGAACTGATGAGCATCCTGAACAGAATTATTTCCAAACGTAAGTCAGGCTTCTATTCTGTCTATTTGTGTGGCTCTGCCTGTGTATGTACATGCTTGCGTGCTTTAAGCAAGTCTACGTAGGCTTGTTTATTGACAACCCCTTTCTATCTCAGAAAGCCATGTTTGAGATGTAATATTCTTGATGAATTTCTTAGTGAGGCTGATATTTGTCTTTGTGAGCGAGTAAGGGGATGATACTCTGAGTGACCTGGCTGCTTTTTAATTTCAGATGGTGACCTGAAGACAGACGGGTTTAGCATAGAGTCCTGCAGGAGCATGGTGGCAGTCATGGATGTATCCTTCCTGTCATGACCTGTTTGTGGCGGGGGTCAGGGTCCAGTGGGTATGGCACATTTATACTTTTGTACCAACATCATACAATACATCTAATGTTGATACAAAAATATAATTTCCAGAACTTGGTGCCATAAGGATGGAGAGAATTCAGACATAGCCATAAAAAAAGGTTTAATAACAAGGTGGAAGGTCATGGACATTTTTCCCAAGTGTTTAGGTACATTAACATATCCATAATATAATAACTCTGATGGATTATTTTTAATTTACTTAAACCTTTGGGAAACATGGGTTGTCCATAACCTCCCCCTTGTTCTTAGACATTTTCTATGACTGGCCAAATTCTATCCATCCTACCAAAGTGTGCACTTGTTCACTTCCCTTCACTGATTTTAAAAGGAAATGACTGGTATAAGAAATATGGATGTATGTTGTATTGTTATAAACATACAGTGCATTCGGAAGGTATTGACCCCTTCACTTGTTCCACATTTTGTTACGTAACTGCCTTATTAAATTGATGAAACTGTTTTTTTCCCCTTATCAATCTAGACACAATACAATACGTTTGCAAATTTATATATTTATACAGAAGATAGACCTATTTGGTAAAAGACCAAGTCCATATTAGGGCAAGAACAGCTCAAGTAAGCAAAGAGAAATGACAGTCCATCATTACTTTAAGACATGAAGGTCAGTCAATACGGAACATTTCAAGAACTTTGAAAGTTTCTTCAAGTGCAGTTGCAAAAACCATCAAGCGCTATGATGAAACTGGGTCTCATGAGAACCGCCACAGGAATGGAAGACCCAGAGTTACCTCTGCTGCAGAGGATAAGTTCATTAGAGTTACCAGCCTCAGAAATTGCAGCCCAAATATATGCACCACAGAGTTCAAGTAACAGACACATCTCAACATCAACTGTTCAGAGGACACTGTGTGAATCAGGCCTTTCATGATCAAATTGCTGCAAAGAAACCACTACTAAAGGACACCAATAAGAAGAAGAGACTTGCTTGGGCCAAGAAACACGAGCAATGGACATTAGACCGGGGAAAATGTGTCCTTTGGTCTGGAGTCCAAATTGGAGATTTTTGGTTCCAACCACTGTATCTTTGTGAGACGTGGTGTGGGTGAACGGAGGATCTCCGCATTTGTATTTCCCACCGTAAATCATGGAGGAGGAGGTGTTATGGTGTGGGGGTGCTTTGCTGGTTTTTTATTTGCAATAAATTTGCAAAAATTGCTAAAGCTGTTTTTGCTTTGTCTTTATGGGGTATTGTGTGTAGATTGATGAGGAAAAACATTTTTTAAATCCATTTTAGAATAAGGCTGTAACTTAACAAAATGTGGAAAAAGTGAAGGGGTCTGAATACTTTACGAAAGCACTGTATGTGTCAGGTTTTTGTGAACCTTAACGCTGTTGCAGAGTGACAGCACTGGGAAGCTCGGATTTCATGAGTTCAAACACCTCTGGAACAATATCAAGAAATGGCAGGTGAGTATTTCATTTCCACCAGCTTGGTCAAATCTATTTGTCTCATTATTTCTTGATTTTAATAATAAAGTAGTTTGAGAGTATTAGCACTATTAGAATGTATGATAATGTGTAACCATGGAAATGTTATCATAGATGTATTATACTACATATTAGGGGTGTAACGATCCATCTACTACATCGATGTATCGATTTATATTCCTATGATCCAACTACATCGATCTGTGCTCGGCGAGTTGGCCTTTTGGACAACATATATCAATCTAACATCATTTTAAAATGTAATAAATCGATTGTATCGATACTAGGAAATAACCCATTGGATTTAAGCACGTCAGACTTTATATGGATGTTTTTTCTTAGCACTTTTAATGATAAAGGCTTTAAACATTACTCGATTCAGTCTGCCTATCCGTGACGTCATCGCCCCGCGCCAGCAGCAGCGCAAAGGCGCAAAGACAACAAAACATAGCATGGCGGACGAACTGGTTGAATTTTTGGCTAAAAGGTTACTGAATCGATTTCAAGTCACTGAATCGTTTCGGATCGTATCGTTCTAAATGAACCAATATCGTCCTTGAATCGTATCGACAACCACGAATCGTGATACAAATCGAATCGTTGTTAAAACGAATCGTTACACCCCTACTACATATAAATGTATCTCAAAATAAAGGTTTTTCTTTTGTTGTTTTTTCAGGGTTTGTATAAGACTTATGACACTGATGGCTCTGGGGTTATTGGTGCAGATGAGCTGCCCAACGCTTTCAGGGCTGCAGGTTAGAGATATCATACAGCACAGAAATATTTATATCGCTGTTTGGCAGACACTTTTTACAGCTCATATGTTCTTAAAACATTGCACTGGGATATGAATACATTTTGAATGTCAAAACTTCTTAAGTGGTGTTTGAGCCAGCAATCCTCTGTTGTTTCCAGCTTCATAGTTAAAGGTTTAGATATCAGCATTTCAGTTTTGACCAAGGATATAGATAAAATCTAAATATGTGTGTCTATGGTTTGGACACAGGCTTCCCCCTCAACGACCAGCTGTTCCAGATGATCATACGCAGATACAGCGATGAGAATGGGAACATGGACTTTGACAACTACATTGGCTGCCTTGTGAGACTGGACGCTATGTGCCGTAAGTCTGATTCCCTGCTCTTCCCCATATCATCATCATGTCAAGGGTTATTTTAGCTCTGTATAGGGTTTAGATATAAAAAAAAAACATATGCGTTAACCTTTTGCCACGTGTTTCAGCACAACTAATGGTACTCCTTTGAAAATAATAGGGTACATAGTCATTGGAATATTTTATTGCCAAAGTTGTTTTCTCTATTCAAAAGGCACTCGCACATCTGATCTATCTTTTTTGCAGGTGCATGGTAACAGTTGAATTAGATGAGAAGGCGAAGGCCTTGAGGTCGATATGTAAAGCTTATTAAAGAGCAGTGATACTATCAAGAGCAGTGTGCAGGTTTCTTTTTTTCTCAAAGTAGTTTTCTCTAAAAGTTGCATCTTCCTGATTCAGGTGCCTTCAACACCTTAGACAAGGATAACAATGGAACCATCAAGGTCAACGTTCAAGAGGTAAGCATGTCACACTTACAAGCTGTACCAATGAGATGGTTTTATGAATGTAATTAGCCTAGCAAAGCTACTTTAGGAACATATTGTACAGTGATGCCGATGACTATCACACAAGAGGTCAAAACCCACCATTGTACAGGGTTGATGTCAAACAATTGTTTTCTTCTGTTTCTTTGCAGTGGCTCCAGTTGACCATGTACTCCTGAGCATAGGAAATGCCTACAGGTGTTTACAAAACCACTCCATTTCTCTCTACTTTATGCTCTGCTTTAGACCACTCCATGGACCCCCTGTGCCAGTCAACCAGTCCCCCAGTGTATGCAGGTTTCCCTACATTATTTGCAACCTACCCAATGTGAATACAGCATTATCTCATACAACAAAAGGGGAGTTGTAGACTAACGTGGGAACAAAAACCTGCACACACAGTGGTTCTATGGGCTGACATTGAGAACCTCTGGGCCACTCGATGCCAATGCTGGTCTTGCACTCAACCAAGAGTATCTGCTTGTTTTCCTTTTGAATTCAAGAAAACCTCTACACAGGTTATGGCCGTCTTATCTTTTCAATAGCTCTCAAATGGTAATCATTTACCAATCATTTTTAAGCCAGTTCTGAAATAGGCTATAACTGTGACACATACATGATGTAGCTACACATAATAACGCCAGCACAATGTTAGTTTTCATGTCTAACAAGAAAAATGTGGTTTGTGCCATTGCTTCATGAAACCAACAGATACCATTTAAGGATTTGGTAACTGTTGCCATAAGTCACTGAACTGTTACTGTCTTTGAAATGACCAGTGTCATATTTTGTATGGAATTAAAGTAATCTTAACAATATAGTGCTTGTGTTATTTAAACACCTTAAGCCTACTCATCTACAAAGTTTTCAAGTTTTATTAGTCATATGCACAGGATACACATGGTATACCCTGTCCAATGAAATGCTTACTTGCAGATTCCTTCTCAACAATGCAACAACAACAATAAGAAAAGATAATACGAACATAAAGTCAATGGCTAAGTGGAATAGAATGTGCATTTTAGCATAAGTATAATACAGGAAGGCACAATTTATAGTCCAATATTTACATGTTTTGAGGGCTTGGGGGAAAGTGTTTAGAAATGGTACAGTATTTAGCAATAACATGTCTGGTAGCATGAATGTATGTGCTAAGGTGCGGAGAGTCAGTATAGGTGGTCAATCCAGTTCAAGTGTTCAGCAGTCTGATGGCTTGCAGGTAAACTGTCTATGAACCAGTTGGTATCAGACCTCATTCTCCGATACCGTCTGCCCGACAGTAAGGGAGTGAACAGCTCATGGCTTGGGTGTGTGGGGTCGTTGATGATGCTGCGGGCCTTCGTTTCGAGTAGATGTCCTGGATGTGTAACATTCAATCATTTTGTAAGGGCTTTGTTTCACCCATGCTGTGGGAATAAGGGTTGATGCCATTGGTTGATGCATGTACCCGATGGCTGGATTGATAAATGTGTGTATATATATATATATATACAGCTGTGGAAAAAATTAAGAGACCACTGCACATTTTTCTTAAATCAGCATCTCTACATGTATGACAGCCATTCCATTCCAGTGTCTGTTGAATTCCAAGACAGGTACACCTCATTCTACTGAGTTAGGTACTGATTAGGTGATCACATGAACCAAATCTTATTTAACGAGGAAAAGTATAAAAACCACTGCTGTGGTCATCACTATCCTCTTGCAATAGGACCAGCTGGATGGCAAAAACAGTGCTAATAGTGAGGAAAATAAGGGTTAAATTCTGGCTTTACTGGCAGAGGGATACAGTGAGCGTCAGGTTGCTTCCATCCTTAAAATTTCAAAGACGGCGGTTCATAAGAACAAGGTCAAGCAGCAGACATTGGGGACAACAAAGCTACAGACCGGCAGAGGGCGAAAACGACTCTACTGACTGGGATGACCGCCAACTTATTCGAATGTCACTCAACAACTGTAGGATGACATCAAGTGACCTACAAAAAGAATGGCAAACGGCAGCTGGGGTGAAGTGCACGGCGAGGACGGTTCGGAACAGGCTCCTAGGGGCAGGGCTAAAGTCGTGCAAAGATAGAAAAAAGCCCTTCATCAATGAGAAGCAAAGAAGAGCCAGGCTGAGGTTTGCAAAAGACCATAAGGATTGGACCGTAGAGGACTGGAGTAAGGTCATCTTCTCTGATGAGTCCAATTTTCAGCTTTGCCCAACACCTGGTCGTCTAATGGTTTGACGGAGACCTGGAGAGGCCTACAAGCCGCAGTGTCTCGCACCCACTGTGAAATTTGGTGGAGGATCGGTGATGATCTCGGGGTGCTTCAGCAAGGCTGGAATTGGGCAGATTTGTCTTTGTGAAGGACGCATGAATCAAGCCACGTACAAGGTTGTCCTGGAAGAAAACTTGCTTCCTTTTGCTCTGACATTGTTCCCCAACTCTGAGGATTGGTTTTTCCAGCAGGACAATGCGCCATGCCACACAGCCAGGTCAATCAAGGTGTGGATGGAGGACCACCAGAACAAGACCCTGTCATGGCCAGCCCAATCTCCAGACCTGAACACCATTGAAAACTTCTGGAATGTGATCAAGAGGAAGATGGATGGTCACAAGCCATCAAACAAAGCTTGAATTTTTGCGCCAGGAGTGGCATAAAGTCACCCAACATCAAACGTGAAAGACTGGTGGAGAGCATGCCAAGACTCATGAAAGCTGTGATTGAAAATCAGGGTTATTCCACCAAATATTGATTTCTGAACTCTTCCTAAGTTAAAACATTAGTATTGTGTTGTTAAAAAATTTACATGAACTTATTTTCTTTGCATTATTCGAGGTCTGACAACAATGCATATTTTTTGTTATTTTATGCAAATAAATGCTCTAAATTACAATATTTCTATTTGGAATTTGGGAGAAATGTTGTCAGTAGTTTATAGAATAAAACAAAACTGTTATTTTTACCCAAACACATACCTATAAATAGTAAAACCAGAGAAACTGATAATTTTGCAGTGGTCTCTTAATTTTTTCCGCAGCTGTATATATATAAAAATAATAGGCCAGATGTGTATCAAATCAAGCACCTGTCTGTGTGTCTGCTACCTGTCGTGGTAAACTTCAGCATGACCACTGTTTCTTCACTATGATTAAAAGATTATTAGTTACATTTATAATAAAATAATATTTTTTTAGGTGCTTGGGTAAGTTTATTTCAAGTGATTCCGTGCTTTTGTCCTTTGAACGTATGATTTCAACAGCGCCCTAGCTCGCGCATTGTGGTCAGTCCGGGGACTTCTTTCTCATAAAAGAAAAACCACGTACTGAGCTTGCGTACAAACTAGCGCGAGACATCGGACTGTGGCTAGCTAGCTAACTACGAAGTTTTCGGACTAATCGCAGAAATCACAACCTTTCTTTCCCTCAAAAGGTAAAACTATAATGCATAGTAATATTACAAATATCGAGCCTATTTTGGTGGTTTTTTTCAGTCTCGTAAAATGAATGAAGAGGCGACAATGCGTGCGCAAACGTTTGCTAGTTACAATTTTGTTAAGACGTGACAGACTAGCTAACATTAGCTAGCTAGCTTACGAAAAAAAAACGCCCAAAATGTGAACAATGAGCAGTAACGGCATTTTCGATGTTGAGGCATTGTGTGTTTAAAAAGTGCTAATATCTGTTACCATATGGCATAGTTACTACACGTTTTCACCGCTATCGCATAGCTAATAACATCCTAGTTAGCTATAGCTAGTTAACTAACACGTATATTTTTTGGTACGGGTAAGTTAACGTCAACTAATGTAGCTAGCTAGCAGTCTAGCCCGTATGCCGAACTAAATCAAGAGAGCACTGACTGCTGTATAGCTAAATTCAATGACGATGATACTCGGGTTGCGTCTATCTTCTTGGCAAGACAGGCTGATGACTGGTCAACAAAGGGATTGCGCTAGACTGTCAGACAGCTGTGCAAGTATAGGGTGCGAGGTTTGTATTCATGATTCTGTCATGCAATGTTGTGATTGGGGGAACCAAATTGAATGCAATTAACTAGCTAATGAGTACAGACGTTCATTCGCGGACACACTTTACTGTACCTGAATTTAGACGCACTTGCTGAATTTTTTATTTATTTTTTCCTTCATTTTATCCACCTTATATTATCAATCAACAATTTCTCAAATTATTTTCATTCATGTTATATTTTGTAATCTGATATTTGTATTCAGTTTATCAAATGTTTCATTTTAGTTGTATGCTGTTGTGTATTTGATAGAGGTCCAGTGATGTATTATTATGGGTTATATTTTTGGCTCCAGAAGAGCTAGTAGTATCCCTACTAGGAGGAGTGAAGGCCGAGACCAGAGAGAAAGAAGCAGACCACCAGAGAGATAAGAGGCATCTTGGAAGATGTCTGCCTCGCACTTCTTCAATGAGGACAGTGTCACGCGGTTCAAAAAGAGAAAAGCTCGCTTTACCTTCAGTGAGGTCCACATCCTCCTGGATGAAGTGAAGAAGAATCGGCACATCGTTGTTGGTATGTACCTCTGTACCCTGCAGCACTTTATGTTGATGTGATGATTTCAGATTTTTTTTTTTCAAACCATGTCACAATTTGGGTGTCATCCAAGGCTCATGCCAGTGTTCCATTTCAGAATTTAGGCACGTGGTCATGCTTAAATTTTGCAGGTGCACAGTAACTTGTCTTATGCTCGAGTACCGGCTCCTCTTAGACACCAGTATGTATGGCCACCCGAACCACAGCATCTGATCCTTTTCTTATTAATTGTCCCTCTGACTCTTACAGGGAAGTTTAACCGCGGTGTACCAACGGATGTGAAGAAGCGCGTGTGGGCGGAGATCACGGCCAGTGTGAATGAGATCGGCGAGAGCCAGCGCGAGGTCATCGAGATCATCAAGAAATGGTCCGACCTCAAGTGCGACACCAAGCGTAAGGTGGCCGCCATGCGGTCGGGGGCCAACTTCAAGGGGATCAACTCGCGGCTGTCCCGCGACCTCAGCCCCACAGAGAACATTGTACATCAGATCTTGGAGCTGGATGGGAAGCGAAGCCGGGTGCCAGGTCTCCATTATGGGGCTTTCAAGGAGGGAGATGATGATGAAGGACCAGAGGAGGAGGACGAGGAAGAGGACATGGCGGGGATACACAGTTACCCCAATGAAGGAATAGACGTCTCGATGCCACCACCCTCCACGCTTTCCTCGGCCATGCCCATGTCCTTTTCCATGGGGATGCCGGGCCCTGGCCACACACCCATACCCCCGGTTCAACCCAAAGACGACCATTCTATGGCAAACTACAGCGGCTCGTCCAGTGAGTTATCTACTTTGAAACTGGAAGGGTCTGGGTTGTTCAATTTATACACCACATACCTTTCAAGGTGTTATCGAGGGTGCATATTCAAATATTAGATTTTCTGTTGCAGGAGATTCGTCACATCCCTCTTATGAAATGCAGTATGAGATACCCACTGGTGAAGGTAAGTGTATTTACATGCATGCAGTGTGGCGCGTTGACCCAACATTCAACTCTGTCTATAGGGTCTGATGTGGTGTCTCAGTACTAGAAATACGCTTGTGAAATACTGCCTGATGTGTGGTTTAAGGGCTGGGAATTGCCAGGGACCTCACGATACGATATCGCGATACTTAGGTGCCGATACAATATGTATTGTGATTCGATGTTCCAAACATTTTGCTCACCATACAGTGCCTTCAGAAAGTATTCACACCCCTTGACTTTTTCCACATTGTATTTACAGCCTGAATTTTAAATGGATTAAATTGAGATTTTGTCTCTGGCCTATACTCAATACCCCATCATTTCAAGTGGAATTATGGTTTTAGAAGTGTTTACACATTTTATTAAAAATGAAAAGCTGAAATGTCTGAAGTCACTAAATAAGTTGCATGGACTCACTGAGTGAAAGTGTTTAACATGATTTTTGAATTACTACCTCGTCTCTACCCCACACATACAATTATCTGTAAGGTACCTCAGTTGAGCAGTGAATTTGAAATAGATTCAACCACAAAGACCAGGGAGGTTTTCCAGTTCCTCGTAAAGAAGGGCACCTATTGGTAGATGGGTAAAAATAAAACAAGCAACAGTTAGTTTGATGGCTGTGATAGGAGAAAACGGAGGATGGATCAACAACATTGTAGTTACTCCACAATACTAACCTAAATTAGAGTGAAACGGAAGCCTGTACTGAATACAAATATTCCAAAACATGCATCCTGTTTGCAATAAGGCACTAAAGTGAAACTGCAAAAAAATTTGGCAAAGAAATTAACTTTTATGTCCTGAATACAAAGCCTTATGTTTGAGGCAAACAACACATCACTGAGTACCACTTCATATTTTCAAGCATGGTGGTGGCTGCATCATGTTATGGGTATGCTTGACATCGGCAAGGACTAGGGAGTTTTTTTTTTAGGATAAAAAGAAATGGAATAGAGCTACGCAGATGCAAAATCCTAGAGGAAATCCTGGTTCAGTCTGCTTTCCAACAGACACTGGGAGACAAATTCACCTTTCAGCAGGACAATAACCTAAAACAAGGCCAAATAAACACTGGAGTTGCTTACCAAGACTATTGAATCTTCCTGAGTGGCCTAGTTACAGTTGACTTAAATCTATGGCAAGACTTAAATGGCTGTGTAGCAATGATCAACAACCAACTTGGCAGAGCTTGAATAATTTTTTTAATAATGTGCAAATATTGTACAATTCAGGTGTGCAAAGCTCTGACTTACCCAGAAAGACTCTCAGCTGTAATCGCTGCCAAAAGTGAATTAACATGTATTGACTCTGGGTGTGAATACTTATTTAAGAGTTATTTCTGTATTTAATTTAATACATTTGCAAACATTTCTAAAAACATTTTCACTTTGTCATGGGGTATTGTGTGTAGATGGGTAAGGACAAAAAACAACAATTTAATCCATTTTGAATTCAGGCTGTAAATATGTGGAATAAGTAGAGGGGTATGAATACTTCATGAAGGCACTGTATGTCTGCTGCAGAGGGACGAGAGCCATGAGAAAATGACTTTTGATCAGTCATGTAAATAAGTGCTGAAAACCAATTGGCTCCCTATTTAAAAAGATGGAGAACAAGCTATGAATAAAATATACTGGAGTTTTGGTGCAGGTACAGCCAACTAGCGCAAAAATATTGCGATATTGTCAATACGATATCGTAAAAAATTATATCACGATATGTTACTATCGATTTCCCCCCACCATCACTATGTGGTATGTGTAACCTCAAACACACGCACAAGTTCAAAATCACCTTTTGCCTTTCCCCAGACACTGAGAACCAGTTTGGGCAGACAGACGACGAGCATCAGGACGAGCTGCCCCCTTCCACCTCACACACGTCCAGCCTCACAGAGGACAACCAGGAGAGTGGCGGTGGCCCACACCCCTCCGCAGGCACCCAGCCCTCGCCCTCATCGTTCTCCACCGCACCACCTACAGCAGGCCAGCCCCCTCGGAACGCCAGGGAGAGCATGTTGCAGTGCGCCTCGCTGAGCGTTCAGGAGCAGCACGCCACCAACACCGCGCTGGAGACTGTGTCACGCTCCCTGGAACTGCTGTCCGAGTCGGTGCAGCAGCTGGCCGAGACGCAGCAGGAGTTTGTGCGCGAGTCGCTGCAGCTGCAGAGGGAGACGATGCACATACTCCGAGACTTCACCAGTGGGGCCCTGGCCCTCATGCATGACAAGCTCAATGGACGCCCGGCCCTATAGCCCAGACGTTGCTGCACTATCTGCCCCTCCTGTGGAGCTGGATGGGAGTGTTCCTTTACACTGGGTACAAGGTTGTTCGATTTCTTTCATTGAGTCATTCACTCCAGACATTTCTAGTGGGTTGTGTTCCGAATTACTGTATTTATAGGAGTAACCCTACTGTCTGCCTAAATTGTTAAATTATGAACTGTGTGTGTTATCCCTCCAAGGGAAATCCAGAAACTCAAAGCAGAATTAGGGGTTGCTTGCACAAATTAAGAGCCTATTTGTTTCTTCCCCCATTTCTCAGATCGTTAAAATGGAGTCTAGTTTAAGGCTCAGAGAGCTTCTAAAACTTGGCAAATTCTAAAGTGAGGTAATGTGTCATGTTTTCTAAAGTGTCCTGTTAAGGTTCTGATAAACCTGTTAGAGCGATAAGGCCCTGTCATTTGAAAAAGGTGTACTTACTTCTTTAGATTATGGACTGATTTCTGTATGTTCCTTTTTTATGTGAGACTGTTTAAAATTAATTATCCTTTTGTCTACTATGTTGATGTAGTCTCTCTATGTACTATTGTACGGAGATATTGTAGAACATGTAAATAAATAAGATGAACTGCTGTAAACTGACTTTTTTTTTTTAATTGCTCTCATTATACAGTAGGACCTCAGGTTCATAAAGGTGGCGGCAAATGCCTTGTTTACCCAAATAGCCGTATTGTACATTGCTCTCTGTTACTCATTTTTTGTAAAGTCATTAGCACAGTATACATGATCCCAATTTTGGCTTCAAGACGTTGACAATTTGAAAAACCAAATAGTAAATGGTGCTTATTTATTGGCACATTGAACCATGTCGCACGCCGTAGATAACTCCATGGATAGTAGTAAAACCATGACATCATACACTACATGACCAAAAGTATGTGGACACCTGAACATCTCATTCCAAAATCATGGGCATTAATATGGAGTTGGGCCCCCCTTTGCTACTATACCAGCCTCCACTCTTCTGGGAAGGCTTACCACTAGATGTTGGAACAATGAATGGAAGCAAGTCCCTGCAGCTGCCATGAGCATTAGTGAGGTCAGGCACTGAGGTTGGGCGATTATGCCTGGCTCACAGTCGGCGTTCCAATTCATCCCAAAGGTGTTCGATGGGGTTGAGGTCAGGGCTCTGCAGGGCAGTCATGTTCTTCTACACCGATCTCAACAAACCATTTCTGTATGGACCTCGCTTTGTGCACAGGGCATTGTCATGCTGAAACAGGAAAGGGCCTTCCCCAAACTGTTGCCACATAGTTGGAAGCACAGAATTGTCTAGAATGTCATTGTATGCTACAGTGTTAAGATTTCCCTTCACTGGAACTAAGGGGCCTAGCCCGAACCATGAAAAACAGCCCCAGACCATTATTCCTCCTCCAACAAACTTTACAGTTGGCACTGCATTCAGTTCTTGTGCTGAAGTTGCTTCCAGAGGCAGTTTAGAACTTGGTAGCTATGCGCTTCAGCACTCGTGGTCCTGTTCTGTGAGCTTGTGTGGCCTACCACTTCGATGCTGAGCCGTTGTTGCTTCTAGACTTTCCACTTCACAATAACAGCACTTACAGTTGACTGGGGCAGCTCTAGTAGGGCAGACATTTGAGGAACTGACTTGTTGGAAAGGTGGCATCCTACGTTGGTGCCATGTTGAAAGTCACTGAGTTCTTCAGTAAGGCTATTTTACTGCCAATGTTTGTCTATGGAGATCGCATGGCTGTGTGCTCGATTTTATACTCCTGTCAACAACGGGTGTGGCTGAAATAGCCGAATCCACTAATTTGAAGGGGTGTCCACATACACTATATATACAAACGTATCTTTATGCACCTTGCCATTAAATCCATATGGACAATATTGATTGCATATTTACATGTTTTCTAATCATTTAGACCAGGGGTGTCAAACGTACGGCCCGCGGGCCGGATTAGGCCCGCAAACGGGTTTAATCCGGCCCGCGAGATGATAAAAAAAAAAAATATATATATATATATATATATATATTATTATTTTTTTAAGTATAAAAATGCGCTGCAATTTTTCAATAAAATAAACTGCTGTTCCAATTGCGTCCACTGGATGGCGCAATATAAATTGTGTTAAGCAAGCAAACTTTTTATACCGGGGCAGAGCAAGTAGGTCAAGCACGTGCAGCCAATGAGCTACTTTGTTTTGCCCGCGATATTTATTACGGCTTCTACTTTTAACATTATGTGCTTTGGCACCCTCATTGCCCCAATATGTCTCTGTCAAAAAAGAGAAAAGTGGACGCAGAGTGCAGAGTGTTCCAAGAAAAATGGTCATCCTATTTAATCACGGAATTGAATGGGAAAGCTGTATGTTTGGTGTGTTCAGAGCATGTTGCAGTGCTGAAAGAATATAACCTTCGTCGCCACTATGTGAGTCTTCATGCCGACAAACATGACAACTTTCAAGGACAGCGGAGATGAGAGAAGGTGAATGAACTGTTGGCGGGTCTGAAGAAACAGCAGTCTGTTTACTCACAGCCGAGACATCAGTGACGCTGCAGTGAAAGCTAGCTACCTCATTGCTAATGAAATCGCAGTGGCTTCAAAACCATTTAGTGAGGGTGAATTTGTAAAAACATGCATGATGAAGGCAGCGGAGATTGTGTGCCCTGAAAAGCGGCAGGCTTTTGCAAATATCAGCCTGACAAGAAACCCAGTTGCAGACAGGATTTCCGATCTTTCAGTGGATTTGGACAGCCAGTTGAAGCAAAAAGTAAAGTCATTTATTGCGTTTTCGGTTGCAATTGATGAAAGCACGGACATTACAGATGTTGCACAACTGGCCATTTTTTCATCCGCGGAGTTGATGACACATTGACCGTCACCGAGGAGTTCGTGGAGTTGGTGCCGATGACAGATACAACGACAGCAGCTGATATTTTTACCGCACTCGTCGGCGCGCTGGACAGGGTCGGAGTGGACTGGTCCCGCGCTGTCAGCCTGGCTACAGATGGTGCGCCCTCAATGATCGGGAAAAAAGCAGGCGTTGTGACAAAGTTCAGAGAGAAAGTGCAATCTGCAAATGGAGGACGTGATTTTTTGACTTTTCACTGTATTTTGCACCAGGAGGCTTTGTGTTGCAAGTCATTAAAGATGGATAACGTCATGAAGGTGGTCATCCAAACTGTTAATTTCATCCGATCCAGAAGCCTGAATCACCGTCAGTTTGACAGCCTTCTCAGAGAGAAAGACCACATCTATGGCCTGCCATACCACACTGAGGTAAGATGGTTAAGCCGAGGTGCTGTGCTGAGGCGTTTCTTTGATTTACGAGAAGAAATTGAACAGTTCATGGAAGAAAAGGGCAAACCAGTGTTAGAATTTCATTCCGCAGAATGGATGCCGGACCTTGCATTTATGGTGGATGTTACAGAGCACCTGAATAACTTGAACAAACAGCTGCAAGGGCGCAACAAAGTTGTCACGCAGTATTATGACAGCATACGTTCTTTCAAGTTGAAGCTGTCATTGTGGGAGACGCAACTTGCCGGTGGTGATGCAGCTCACTTCCCCTGTCTGAAAAATGTGTGCGCGACCCAACATGTGGCAGACATGAAGCGGTTCAAAGATAAAATAACTGGACTGTTACGGGAGTTTGAGCAACGCTTTCAGATTTATGTTTATATGTTTTTATGTTGATGTGCTATTGTTTTTAATTGATTTTATTTTATTTGTATATTTAGCCTATTCTTGACTCTGTGGTTCTTGCACTTGTTTGGGGAACAGGATTTCATTATTTTTATCTACATTTCTGCCTGAGAAATGACACCCTGATATAGTTCTGTGATCTGTGATATACTTCTGTGAATCACTGAGGCATTGTGTGTTTGTGTGTTCTTTGTCCTCAGAACTTTCAAATAACTTGAGGTGTTTTATGATTAATAGTGATGTTGTGCTTTTGGACACTGTCCTCAGGCTCCAGCTTTATGTTTATATGTTTTTATGTTGATGTGCTATTGTTTTTAATTGATTTTATTTTATTTGTATATTTAACCTATTCTTGACTCTGTGGTTCTTGCACTTGTTTGGGGAACAGGATTTCATTATTTGTATCTACATTTCTGCCTGAGAAATGACACCCTGATATAGTTCTGTGATCTGTGAAACAGTTCTGTTAATCACTGAGGCATTGTGTGTTTGTGTGTTCTTTTTCTTTAGAATTTTCAAATAAACTTGACGTGTTTTATGATTAATAGTGATGTTGTGCTTGTACTATTTTGGACACACTGTCCTCAGGCTCCAGCTTTATGTTGTATGTTGATCGTATTAAAACAAAGAAAACAATCTGAAGTTGTTGTTTTTAAGTTATATATACCATGATTTTTCCTGTCCGGCCCACTTGGGAATAGATTTTCCTCCATGTGGCCACTGAGCTAAACTGAGTTTGACACCCCTGATTTAGACAGACACTGTCTTTAGCACATATAGGCAATGTTTCAAAGGCAAATGTTATTTACTTTTTTGTTGTTGTTGCATATCCCGGTTTGATATTGCCTGTTCGGTTGACCAGTCAGTCCGTAACTCTTAGGTTCGTATCTTTGACATTCTACTGTACAAACAATCCAACCACATGTTCGCCTCTGTGTGTACACGTCATGTGCCAGTGAGAATCGGGCCGTTGCCAATGGAGCGAGGCGAGCGCAAAGTAGACTATACATTTTGATCGACAACAACACTAACTAGAGCTGGGTCGATAAAACCTAAAATTATCAGCACTGACATTGCCATCCTCATACCGAAGCAATATTGCTTACTTCGGTAATTAGGCTACACAATGTTCCTGCAGAATTGTTGGTTCTAAAACCATTATTTGGTCAACAGTAATGTGCATTAACCTGCTTCCTGCAATGAAAGTATCTGCCCTGTCCCTGTTTTGCTGATGACTCTCACTCCCCTCTTTGCACACAAAGTGAAGGGAGAGGTGCATTCTGATGAACGCAATCATACTGATAGTTGAGCAACATTTCAAAATGTACAGTAATTGCGGGAAAGACAGTTTAAAACTATTGTTACTGATGTTAGTCATTTGGGGTGAATACATCAAGTAGCCTATATAACCCTACCAATGGAAAGTTTTTGTGGGACATTACATTTACTGTTGGATCAATTGCATAGCTATCTAGTAACAAAATCATATTAAGAGTTAGCAATCTAGCTGTGCTTTGAGTTCCCACTTCCTCAGGTGGTAAATTACGTAGCATATAGGCATAGCCTATGCCATTATGCACAAAAAACATGCAGGCAAATGAATCTCTAAAGAGCCAAAAAGATATAGGTCGCGTTCGTAAATTCACTCTGGCTATCTACTCAGATTTCAGAGCACTCACGTTTGAGTGTGCCAGAGCGCAGAATAACTGATGAATTTACGAACTCAACACCCGTTGCATATGGCCGGTGTCAGTAAACGTCGGCAAAAAAGCGCAATTAAATTGTTGCCAGCAGCACAGTTAATCACCAACGCTCTGGATAACATGAAAACAGCCTAACCCGCTCTGCTAGGGCGAGAAAAATGGTCAGAGTGAGGTGTTCTCTCATTTGTGTCTGGAAGTAGCTAGCAAGTTAGCCAGTTAGCTTGGGTGCTTGACTGCCGTTGTGATGTCAGAACGCTCTGATCAACCCTACTCCTCCGCCAGAGCGTCCAGTGTGCGCTCTGAATTTACAAACTGACAACGCTCTGAATTTACGAACGCACATGAGCGCTCTCTGGCACTCCAGAGTGAATTTACGAACGCACACATAGTACTATTCTGGATCCTATTTTTAAATGTTGCACATCAAAATATAAACAATTTACATCATTTAGCAAAATATCCATCATGCATTCCCTGAACATGTTAGATGAAATGGATAACTTGTACTGAATAAAAATATAAAACGCAACATGCAACAATTTCAAAGATTTTACTGAGTTACAGTTCATATAAGGATATCAGTCAATTGAAATAAATTCATAATGCCCTAATGTATGGATTTCACATGACAGGGCAGGGGTGCAGCCATGGGTGGGCCTTGGAGGGCATAGGCCCACCCACTGGGGAGCCAGGCCCAGCCAATCAGAATGAGTTTTTCCCCACAAAAGGGCTTTATTACAAACAGAAATACTCCTCAGCAACCCCTCATCAGACGATCCCGCAGGTGAAGAAGTCAGATGTGGAGGTCCTGCGCTGGCATGGTTACATGTGGTCTGCGGGTGTGAGGCCGGTTGGATGTACTGCCAAATTCTCTAAAACGATGTTGGAGGCAGCTTATGGTAGAGAAATGAACATTCAATTCTCTGGCAACAGCTCTGGTGGACGTTCCTGCAGTCAGCATGCCAATTGCACGCTCCCTCAAAACATGAGACATCTGTGGCATTGTGTTGTGTGAGAACATTTTAAAGTGGCCTTTTATTGTACCCAGCACAATGTGCACCTGTGTAATGATCATGCTGTTTAATCAGCTTCTTGATATGCCACACCTGTTAGGTGGATGGATTATCTTGGCAAAGGAGAAATGCTGACCAACAGGGATGTAAACAAATTTGTGAACAAAATTTGACAGAAATAAGCTTTTTGTGCATATGGAACATTTCTGGAATCTTTTATTTCAGCTCATGAAACATGGGACCAACACTTTACATGTGTTTATATTTTTGTTTAGTGTATTTTAATGTCTTACTTTGCACTGGAAAAAGTTAGTCGAGCCCTCCTGTTTAGCTACCTTGCTTTGAAGTATAGCCTTTTTATACCTGATTCACTGAATGAGGGAATTATTGTATTACTTTTTGGTTGTAAGCTATTGCTCTAATGTTATAGCATAATACCTCCAAGAGAGCTACTGTGTGGACTTTTGTTCCAGGCCTACTCCAAAACACCAGATTCTACAAATCAACAGGACCTTGTTAAGCTGACTCCGATGTGTTTGAGCAGTGCTGGATCAAAAGTCTGCATACCCAGTGGCCTAGCTCTCCAGATAGAGTTGACCACATGTTTTATACAGTAACAGTGCTGTATATTTGACTAAGGTATTTTTTTCCACAGTGGTATCGAGTATCATTATACTAAGCTGGTATTGGTATCGAAGCCAAAATTCTGAACACTTGATCTAGCTAATGATCAGCCCATTGGGGTAGCCTAAACAAATTAAGATGGGCAACCTTGTGCCTCAGCCATCTATAGCCTAGCCACTATGCTACTACATCCGTTAGGCTACAGGATTAGCTCATTGCTAAAATAGCACACCTGCATGATAATGAGCCATGAAGGCTATAGCCTTTGGTGAAAAAGCCAGCCCTAAAAATCCTACTTTTTGACAACACAGGCTCATTCCTGGAGAGGAATATTAGCAGGTGTGTGGTGCGCGGAGACCCAAAATTGGTATTAAATTGCATTCCAAGAGGCATTAGAAAGGTCTTAAATTCATGGGACCTGTAAGTAAGCCTTGTCCGAGCAAGAACGGCTCATAGGGCAGTTGCGTTTTTTCCTGATTCTGTAGCGTGAAGCAGCTTGATATACAAGTACACCCCCCGGACATTAGTCTATCACAGGGCCTAGTTTTAGTTCATGCTCACCTTTAATTCAAGATTTAAATCTGAACAGCTTCACAGTTCTCTTTATTTTGCTTGATTATTAAATACTTGATGAAAACAGAACACATTTCACAGAACAGAATGGGGAGACATGTCAAATTTAGCACACAGAGCGTGAAATACTGCTTATTTGAACATAGGAAAACTCAGGGGAGCACCTTTTATGCAGAAAGTAACAGACTCCAACCGCTTCCTTCCTTCAAAAGAAACACTTAATAACGGACCCCCCATGCCACCCTCTAGTCGGAGGGGCTCAGGGACTGAAGCTGTCCACCAGGTGTTTAGAGTTCCATGGACCTGCGTTGTTGGACAGGAACTGCTGGTTGACCACTGTCTTGGCATTCTGGTAGGAGTGAGCCTCCACCTGCAACAACAAGGATACACAAATAATTCACCACTTAACAGATTACATTATATCAATGGCTCACATTCATACCTTCAAAATAAAAAGTCAAATGGTCAGTCAAATAATCCAGCATTACATGATAAATGACACATCCCTGACAATTCAAACTGACAGAGTAGCTTACTCAATTCATGTTACATTTTCAATGATTAGCAATTAACACACACAGACTTTGGCACTGTGGTACGTGGGGAGATCCTGTAGGCAGTGGTATCCTCCCAGCGTTGCAATTTTGCGGAAGTTGCTGTAGAGGGCCCTCTTGCACAGCCTGCTGGAGAAGCCAGAGCCACTCACAAAAGGGGAGCTGAGGGACAGAGAGAAGTCTAACACCATTACCATCCCTGAGGCACCAAAGAAAACTCCCACCACAATGCAGATGTCTAAGTACTGTTCTATATCTAGTAAGTAGTAAAATGTAAATATACCTAGCCAAGGGGATGTATCCAAGGTGTTTTTAGTGATATGAAACATTGCAGATAGAAATGTAATGAATAGAGTTGGCACTTCAATCATACATCTACACGAGACATTTATATTCTGAACGTTCTGTAAGATTGCACCCTACTGAAGAGGCCCCAATTCTTTGTCCTTTGCCCTGATATAACCAACGTCCAGGCCCCAGGACCTCCTCTGCTCTGACTTTACCCGTCCACGGTGAAGCCGTTGGTGCTGTCTAGGACCTCGATGCTGGCATCCCCGAGGCACCAGTTGATGCTGAGGTCTGTGCAGTGGACGGTGCTGAGTGGAGGCCCCACCTCCTCACTGCTGAGGAAGAAGATCCTCTTCCTGCTGAATGGCGGGGCCAGCAGCTCCTCCCAGCCCCCCTCGCCCAGGCGCTTGTTGATGGTCTCCGACACCTTCTCAGAGTACTGGCTGGAGTCACCTGAATAATAGAGACCAGCAGATCTCTAAATTTTTCATTTCTGTGGGTTGTTATTTTTTCAATTTCATGATGCTGCCACCACCCCTTGCTTTGTTCTGTTGCAAAATGTTTACCCAGCACCACACTGGTGATGTACAGTGGCTGGACGAAGTGGCTAAGCAGTGCGCCCTGAATCCCAGTGACAGTCCAGCGGCACAGCTTGTCGCTGTCGGACATGCAGCAGACTCGGGCGCCCCACACACTGGGGTGGAGGAAGGCCACAGGAATCAGGGAGCCCTTGGCGTGGCACTGCAGCTTCAGAGAGGAGTAGCTGCTGCTTAGAGACTTCCTGTGGGGAGATAGTTAATAGTGATGGAGGTGGGGGGAATCGATACATTAGAGTATCGAGATATTATTTGATAATATTATATTGATTCTATTACTCAAAGTAACGATCCTCTTAGGTCTTTCTATAAATAATGGAACTAATGTGTGACATTTGGATTAAAAAATCAAAATGGTTTGAAACAAAAATAAAATAATTTTCATGCAGTGTACTTAGAGGAATAAAAGTGGCTTGCGAAAGTATTCACCCCCCTTGGCATTTTTCCTATTTTGTTGCCTTACACCCTGGAATTAAAAGGGATTTTTTGGAGGTTTGTATCATTTGATTTACACAACATGCCTACCACTTTGAAGATGCAAAATATTTTTTATTGTGAAACAAACAAGAAATAAGACAAAAAAACAAACTTGAGTGTGCATAACTTTTCACCCCCCCCCCCAAAGTCAATACTTTGTAGAGCCACCTTTTGCAGCAATTACAGCTGCAAGTCTCTAGGGGTATGTCTCTATAAGCTTGGCACATCTAGCCACTGGGATTTTTGCCCATTCTTCAAGGCAAAACTGCTCCAGCTCCTTCAAGTTGGATGGGTTCCACTGGTGTACAGCAATCTTTGAGTCATACCACAGATTCTCAATTGGATTGAGGTCTGGGCTTTGACTAGGCCATTCCAAGACATTTAAATGTTTCCCCTTAAACATTTACATTTACGTCATTTAGCAGACGCTCTTATCCAGAGCGACTTACAAATTGGTGCATTCACCCTATAGCCAGTGGGATAACCACTTTACCATTTTTATTTTATTTTTTTATTTTTTTGGGGGGTAGAAGGATTACTTTATCCTATCCCAGGTATTCCTTAAAGAGGTGGGGTTTCAAATGTCTCCGGAAGGTGGTGAGTGACTCCGCTGTCCTGGCGTCGTGAGGGAGCTTGTTCCACCATTGGGGTGCCAGAGCAGCGAACAGTTTTGACTGGGGTGTTGCTTTAGCAGTATGCTTAGGGTCATTGTCCTGCTGGAAGGTGAACCTCAGTCCCAGTCTCAAATCTCTGGAATTCTGAAAAAGGTTTCCCTGAAGAATTTCCCTGTAATTAGCGCCATCCATCATTCCTTCAATTCTGACCAGTTTCTCAGTCCCTGCCGATGAAAAACATCCCCACAGCATGATGCTGCCACCACCATGCTTCACTGTGGAATGGTGTTCTCGGGGTGAGGAGAGGTGTTGGGTTTGCGCCAGACATAGCGTTTTCCTTGATGGCCAAAAAGCTCAATTTTAGTTTCATCTGACCAGAGTACCTTCTTCCATATGTTTGGGGAGTCTCCCACATGCCTTTTGGCAAACACCAAACGTGTTTGCTTATTTTTTTCTTTAAGCAATGGCTTTTTTCTGGCCACTCTTCAGTAAAGTCCAGCTCTGTGGAGTGTATGGCTTAAAGTGGTCCTATGGACAGATACTCCAATCTCCGCTGTAGAGCTTTGCAGCTCCTTCAGGGTTATCTTTGGTGTTTTTGTTGCCTCTCTAATTAATGCCCTCCTTGCCTGGTCCGTGAGTTTTGGTGGGTGGCCCTCTCTTGGCAGGTTTGTTGTGGTACCATATTCGTTCAATTTTTTAATAATCGATTTAATGGTGCTCCGTGGGATGTTCAAAGTTTCTGATATTTTTTTATAACCCAACCCTGATCTGTACTTTGTCCCTGACCTGTTTGGAGAGCTCTTTGGTCTTCATGGTGCAGCTTGCTTGGTAGTGCCCCTTGCTTAGTGGTGTTGCAGACTCTGGGGCCTTTCAGAACAGGTGTATATATACTGAGATCATGTGACAGTAAAGGGGGTGAATACATATGCACGCACCACTTTTCCGTTATTATTTTTTTTGAATTTTTTGCAACAAGTTATTTTTTTCATTTCACTTCACCAATTTGGACTATTTTGTGTATGTCCATTCAATGAAATCCACATAAAAACCCATTTAAATTACAGGTTGTAATGCAACAAAATAGGAAAAACGCCAAGGGGATGAATACTTTTGCAAGGCACTGTATGCAAATGTCTTCATACAACACTAAAACACTATAGGCCTAGGACTATACAGTGCCTTCAGAAAGTATTCACACCCCTTTGATTACTGATTGATTAAATTTAGATTTTGTGTCACTGGCCTACAATCAATATCCCATAATGTCAAAGTGGAAATATGTTTTTAGAAATGTTTACAAATTAATAAAAAATTAAAAGCTGAAATGTCTTAAGTCAATAAGTATTCAACCCCTTTGTTATGGCAAGCCTAAATAAGTTCAGGAGAGACAATTTGCTTAACAAGTCACATCATAAGTTGCATGGACTCACTCTGTGTGCAATAATAGTGTTTCACATGATTTTTGAATGACTACCTCATCTCTGTACCCCACACATACCATTATTTGTAAGATCCCTCCGTCAAGCAGTGAATTTCAAACACAGATTCAACCAGAGACCAGGGAGGCTTTCAATGCCTCACAAAGGTCACCTATTGGTAGATCGGTAAAAAAAAAAAAGACATTGGCACCAGGCCAAATATACACTGGAGTTGCTTACAAAGACAACATTGAATGTTCCTGAGTGGCCTAGTTACAGTTTTGACTTAAATCGGCTTGAAAATCGATGGCAAGACTTGAAAATGGCTGTCTAACAATGATCAACAACCAACTTGACAGAGCTTGAAGAATTTTAAAAAGAATAATGTTTGAATATTGTACAATCCAGGTGTGCAAAGCTCTATACTTTCCTGCAACCCGCCTCACCCAACGTGGAAAGGATTCTATTATTTCTTTATAACTTTCATCAAGAACCGTAAGCTGAAAATAGTGGCTACCTGTTATTAGTCACCGTTAGCGTCTTCACCATTGTCCGTGGCCTACACTATCCACCAGCCAGCTCTAGCTCTAGCCTGGACAATTCGTCGGCCAGTCTGCACAGCGTGCTATCGACCCAGCGTGCTATCGACCCAGAGCTTATTGGACTTTCTGCCGGAATCACTGGACCCTAGCGCCGGATCATCACAACCAGCTAGCTAGCTGCAACCTGTTGTTGGCTGATTACCATTACCATTGCCCTATAGCAAGCACAGTTAGCCTTGAGCTAGCCTCAGGCCCATCTCCCGGCTATCTACCTCTCTGTCAACCGGACGGGACCTCCTAGTGTTGACACTGAGCCCCGCCGATCCAACACGACTGGTTTGCCGACGAAATAGTCTGATGTGGTTTCAACAGGCTTCCCGTTGCGACGACCACGAAGATCCATCTGCCACCCCCGGCCCGCTAGCACACGCAAACCACAACTGTGCTCCCTGCTAGCTGTGCTGAAGCACCAATTTGAACTGCTCTCGGACTCACATATTGCTGTTCACTGGACCTTATGATCACTCAGCTGCACAGCTGATGCCTGCTGGACTGTTCCTTTACACGGTACCCTGTCCTGTTTATTCTGTTTAGTCTTAGCCCAAACGTTATCGCTATTTCCAGTTGTGTCTTAGCTCTCTCTAATAACACATGTGACTGCTTTATGCCTCTCTCCCATGTCAATTATGCCTTGCCTATTGCTGTTTGGGTTAGTTCTTATTATACAATTTCAATGTAGAACCCCTAGTCCCTCTCAAACTGCCTCATACAGTTCCTTTGTTCCCCCCCCCCATACACGCCGAGACCGGCTCAATCGATGCCTCCAATGACGCTATCTCTTTCATTGTTACCCAACGCTTAGGGTTACCTGAACTGTACTCATATCCTTCCATATCCTTTTCTGTACATAATGCCCTGAATCTTTTCTACAACGCCCGGAGAACTGCCCCCTTTATTCTATGTACCCAACGCACTAGAAGACCAGTTCTTAAAGCCTTTAGTCGTATCCTTATTCTAGTCCTCCTCTGTTCCTCTGGTGATGTAGAGGCTAACCCAGGCCCTGCAGCCCCCAGTATCACTCCTACTCCCCAGGAGCTATCATTTGTTGACTTCTGTAACCGTAAAAGTCTTGGTTTTCTGCACATAAATATCAGAAGCCTCCTTCCTAAGTTTTAGTTATTCACTGCGTTAGCACACTCCGCCAACCCTGATGTTCTAGCAGTGTCTGAATCCTGGCTTAGGAAGGCCACCAAAAATTCTGAAATTTCCATCCCCAACTATAACATTTTCCGTCTAGATAGAACTGCCAAAGGGGGTGGAGTTGCAATCTACTGTAGAGATAGCCTGCAGAGCTCCATCATACTATCCAGGTCTGTGCCCAAACAGTTTGAGCTTCTACTTCTAAAAATCCACCTTTCCAGAAATAAATCTCTCACTGTTGCCGCTTGCTACAGACCCCCCTCAGCCCCCAGCTGTGCCCTGGACACCATATGTGAATTGATCGCCCCCCATCTATCCTCAGAGTTCGTACTGCTTGGTGACCTAAATTGGGATATGCTTTACACCCCGGCCATCCTACAATCTAAACTAGATGCCCTCAATCTCACACAAATTATCAACGAACCTACCAGGTACAACCCTAAATCCGTAAACATGGGTACCCTCATAGATATCATCCTGACTAACTTACCCTCTAAATACACCTCCGCTGTCTTCAACCAGGATCTCAGCGATCACTGCCTTATTGCCTGCGTCCGTAACGGGTCCGCGGTCAAACGACCACCCCTCATCACTGTCAAACGCTCCCAAAAACACTTCAGCGAGCAGGCCTTCCTAATTGACCTGGCCCAGGTATCCTGGATGGATATAGATCTCATTCCGTCAGTAGAGGATGCCTGGTTGTTCTTTAAAAGTAATTTCCTCTCAATCTTAAATAGACATGCCCCATTCAAGAAATACAGAACTAAGAACAGATATAGCCCCTGGTTCTCCTCAGACTTGACTGCCCTTGACCAGCACAAAAACATCCTGTGGCGTACTGCATTAGCATCAAATAGCCCCCGCGATATGCAACTTTTCAGGGAAGTTAGGAACCGATATACACAAGCAGTTAGGAAAGCAAAGGCTAACTTTTTCAAACAGAAATTTGCATCCTGTAGCACTAACTCCAAAAAGTTTTGGGACACTGTAAAGTCCATGGAAAATAAGAGCACTTCCTCCCAGCTGCCCACTGCACTGAGGCTAGGAAACACTATCACCACCGATAAATCTACAATAATCGAGAATTTCAACAAGCATTTTGCTACGGCTGGCCATGCTTTCCACCTGGCTACCACTACCCCGGCCACCAGCTCTGCACCCTCCGCTGCAACTTACCCATGCCCCCCCCGCTTCTCCTTCACACAAATCCAGACAGCTGATGTTCTAAAAGAGCTGCAAAATCTGGACCCCTACAAATCATCTGGGCTAGACAATCTGGACCCTTTCTTTCTAAAACTAGCCGCCGAAATTGTCGCAACCCCTATTACTAGCCTGTTCAACCTCTCTTTCGTAACGTCTGAGATCCCCAGAGATTGGAACGCTGCCGCGGTCATCCCCCTCTTCAAAGGGGGTGACACTCTAGATCCAAACTGTTACAGACCCATATCCATCCTGCCCTGCCTTTCAAAAGTTTTTGAAAGCCAAGTCAACAAACAGATCACCGACCATTTCGAATCCCACCGTACCTTCTCCGCTATGCAATCCGGTTTCCGAGCTGGTCATGGGTGCACTTCAGCCACGCTCAAGGTCCTAAACGATATTATAACCGCGATCGATAATAGACAGTACTGTGCAGCCGTTTTCATTGACCTGGCCAAGGCTTTCGACTCTGTCAACCACCGCATTCTTATTGGCAGACTAAATAGCCTTGGTTTCTCAAATGACTGCCTCGCCTGGTTCACCAACTACTTCTCAGATAGAGTTCAATGTGTCAAATCGGAGGGCCTGTTGTCTGGACCTATGGCAGTCTCTATGGGGGTGCCACAGGGTTCAATTCTTGGGCCAACTCTTTTCTCTGTGTATATCAATGACGTCGCTCTTGCTGCTGGTGACTCTCAGATCCACCTCTACGCAGACGACACCATTTTGTATACATCTGGCCCTTCATTGGACACTGTGTTAACAAACCTCCAAACGAGCTTCAATTCCATACAACACTCCTTCAGTAGCCTCCAACTGCTCTTAAACACTAGTAAAACTAAATGCATGCTCTTCAACCGAACGCTGCTTGCACCCGCCCACCCGACTAGAATCACTACTCTAGACGGGTCTGACCTAGAGTATGTGGACAACTACAAATATCTAGGTGTCTGGTTAGACTGTAAACTCTCCTTCCAGACTCACATTAAGAATCTCCAATCCAAAGTTAAATCTAGAATCGGTTTCCTATTTCGCAACAAAGCCTCCTTCACTCATGCTGCCAAACATGCCCTCGTAAAACTGACTATCCTACCGATCCTTGACTTCGGCGATGTCATTTACAAAATAGCCTCCAACACTCTACTCAGCAAATTGGATGTTGTCTATCACAGTGCCATCCGTTTTGTCTCCAAAGCCCCATATAATACCCACCACTGTGACCTGTACGCTCTTGTTGGCTGGTCCTCACTACATATTCGTCGCCAAACCCACTGGCTCCAGGCCATCTATAAATCACTGCTAGGCAAATCCCCGCCTTATCTTAGCTCATTGGTCACCATAGCAACACCCACCCGTAGTCTGCGCTCCAGCGGGTATATCTCACTGGTCATCCCCAAAGCCAACACCTCCTTTGGCCGCAATTCCTTCCAGTTCTCTGCTGCCAATGACTGGAACAAATTGCAAAAATCTCTGAAGCTGGAGACACTTATCTCCCTCACTAACTTTAAGCATCAGTTGTCAGAGCACCTTACCGATCACTGCACCTGTACACAGCCCATCTGAAATTAGCCCGCCCAACTACCTCATCCCTATATTGTTATTTATTTTGCTCATTTGTACCCCAGTATCTCTATTTGCACATCATCTCTTGCACATCTATCATTCCAGTGTTAATACTAAATTGTAATTATTTTGCACTATAGCCTATTTTATTGCCTTACCTCCATAACTTGCTAAATTTGCACACACTGTATATATATGTATTTCTGTTGTATTTTTGACTCTTTTGTTTTACCCCATATGTAACTCTGAGTTGTTGTTTTTTATCGCACTGCTTTGCTTTATCTTGGCCAGGTCGCAGTTGTAAATGAGAACTTGTTCTCAACTGGTTTACCTGGTTAAATAAAGGTGAAATAAAAAAAATAAAAAATAAAAATAAGAGACTTACCCAGAAAGACTCACAGCTGTAATCGCTGCCAAAGGTGATTGTAACATGTATTGAATCAGGGGTGTGAATACTTATGTAAATTAGATATTTATGTATTTTATTTTCATTAAATTTGCACAAAAAAACATGTTTTCACTGTCATTATGGGGTATTGTGTGTAGGTAGGTGAGAATTATTATTTTTTAAAATACACTTTGAATTCAGGCTGTAACAACAAATTGTGGAATAAGTCAAGGGGTATGAATACTATCTGAAGGCACTGTACATCCTTTAAGCAAAGACTTCCAGGGACTTTTTCAAGCACTTAATTGTAATTTTCAAGGACCTCAATGTTATACAATTGTATAATTTATATAATTGTACATATAGGGCCTAATATAGACCCCCCCCCCCCAAAAAAAAAAGTGTTTAAAAAAGTTGGCCATTACCACTTTTTTTTGCCAATGCACTGATATTAAAATTATTATTACATTCTAAAATATATGAGAATAATGTGGACTTTGTCTGACTAACTAGATTTTTCTGGAGCCTATGTGGCCAACACAGGCACAAGTAATAAAGCCAAGAAGAGCGGTAGCATTAATCTCGCCATCGCTGTTTTTATAATGATAAAATGAAAGGGGCCACATCTCTCACAAAATCTGATCAAAAATGAAAAGGGAGCAGAATAACTTGTAAATTGGCTACAATAAGTACAAGGACTTTTCAAGCACCAAATTGAGGAAATGTCTGATTTTCAAGGTAGGCCTATTCCAGTACTTCAATTTCTGAGCTCCTAATTCAAGTAGGCTAATTTAAGCCCCTTGTATTGTTTAAAATTGCAGGTGTAACATGGAAAACAACATGTATTTGTCATTACCAGATCATATTGTGAATACGCTCACTATGCTATGTAATTTGTTGTCATTATATCCAGAATAATTAATAGGAATAGTGTTGGGTGTCCAATCCGAGGCACAAAAACATATGAAAACGAACTCGTTACCTTAATGTTTTCTTGTTAAATCTAACGAGATCCTGCTGTAAATCATGCAGACAACAGATGATCAACATCAATTGGCTAGGGATATTAGATCAACGTGGATCCAGGCACAACTGTCTTCACCGGAGTAACGAATGAGACACCAAAATATTCTGGACATTCCTCGTGAACACCTTTTTTGGGCTGTTGTTGCATCGCATGCACTATCACAACAGCTGTTGTGACAAGCGGTGACTCTTTCGGTTAGAAGCATTCGATTTTGTAATCGCATGTATTATTTTGGATTTGTGTGCCCATGAAAACGGTTTTCACCCCGTAACATAAGGAGACACAAAATGTTAGGTCAGTGGGTAGGCAACCCTGTTCCTGGAGTGCTGTAGGTACTGCAGGATTTTGTTCCAACTAGGCACCACACCTGATCAACTGAGCTAACTGATCAGTTCAGTGATTGCCTAAATTCAAAACACCTGGTCTTCCAGGTCTGTTAAACCAAAACAAAATTGCCTGCGGCACTTCAGGACCAGGGTTGCCTACCCGTGTTATGTAGTTACACTGCATTTCTGAGATCTCTATACAAAAAACTGTCTGACAGCTAGATCCAGGATTCTTACAAGGTTCAAGTTCAATGTCTAATTTAACTGATTAATGCTTAATATATGATATAAGGGCGACTTACACTGCCATAAACGCAAGGACAGAAAAGTAATGTTTTATGTCACGATTTTGAACAAATCCTTCAAGACACCAACCATGCATGATAAAGGGTTAAACATAGGTTTAAATCAACTCCTGAATTTTATTGAATATAGCTATGATCCCCATTATATCTTAATGTAATGACATGAAAATAATTGGCAGATTATTATCAATGACTTATCAGCAGCTGTAACAAGTTGTCCAGTGTAGGAAATCCTCACTGGTACCCTAGTTTATAGAGAGACCCACATACAGTACCCATAAATCTATACACACGCACATTGACGTGAACAACACACTTACATGAGGATGCACTGAGCGGCCCCTTTTGGGGTCTGGTTGGTGTAGAGGTGCAGGTAGATCTGGGGCTTGAGCTGGAGCAGGTGGCTGTCGGAGGTGCTCTGGTAGATGGAGCGTTCCTTGTGCTTGGGGTCATGGCTGAAGAACAGCAGCAGCTGCTTGAACAAATACCTGCACATAAAAAAAAGGAACATTAACATTATTTCCCGATATCCAGTAATAATGGCAACGCTGAACACAAAAAGAGAAGATAATGGATATTCAGAGGGATCCTATCAGGGTTGTGTTCATTATGGCACAAGGGAAAACATTTTGCAGCGGAAAAGGAAAATTAGCGTTTCAAGTCCAGGTAATCCCTCCCTGTTTCAATTAGTTTCTTCCATTTGGTGCCTAATGAACACGACCAGGATGTAGCCTACCTTTGGAGAGCCCGTCTGGCGATGACGATGGCATGACAGTCATGCACCATGGTGCCACTGAAGCAAAGCCAGCCGCTGCAGCTCGACTGGCCCGTGCCCAATGCCACCACCTCATAGCGCTCACAGGACTGGCCCCCGGTGTCAATCACCTCTGAGGATACACCAACAATACACCCCATAGACACACACTGTCGATGTAAGATTAGGCTGAACAGTGTTTCACACTGAGTGTACGTTCACCCAATGTGAAAAATGCAGTGGGTCATTATATTTTGGGGTGACTTCTTATTTTTGGTCCAGAATGGGATCTATAGTGAGCAGTACAGGAGAACTAACCTCTCTGTAGGACAAAGGCAGCCAGGTGGCTTTTGCAGCTATGGAACTCTGGACACTCCCTCAGGAGGCGCTCAAACTTCTCGCTGCACACCGCTGCCATTCGATGTTTATGCCAGTCTGTGTAACCCACTGGAAACAGAGCTAGAGGAGATGTTCATTAAGATCTTTCCAAAGTGTGCTTAAAGGGATACTTTTGGATTTTGGCAATGAGGCCCTTTATCTAGCTACTTACCTAGAGTCAGATGAACTTGTGGATACCATTTTTATGTATCTGTGTCCAGTATGAAGGAAGTTAGAGATAGTTTCGCGAGCCAATGCTAACTAGCGTTAGCGCAATCGCTGGAAGTCTATGGTTATCTGCTAGCATACAGATACCCAGACTTCCAGCCATTAGTGCAACTACCTCTAACGTCCTTCATACTGGACACAGAGACATAAAAATGGTATCCACAAGTTCATCTGACTCTGAGGAAGTAGATAAAGGGCCTCATTGCCAAAATCCCGAAGTATCCCTTTAACTATATGTGTCTTTACAGGCAAAGTAGCCTGTTCCCTCTCAATGTTATTTATCCAGGAAGTCCCATTGAGGTCAGAAGACCTCTTTTACAAGGGACAACTGGTCAGTCATTAAAAGCATCCACTGGCCCCTCACTCACCTCCAACCCTCTTGCCTCTCTTGGGGCTGCTCTCCAGGTTGTCCAACTGGTCCAGGACCCCTTGCTTGAGGAAGCTGATGTCCCCCTCGGACTGGGGCGGTGTGCCTGGGAGAGAGTACCCGTCACAGTCATCGCTAGAATCTTCCAGGTCTGCTGGCATCAGCCTGTGGCTCTGCAGAGGGAGCCTGGGGGAAGATGACCTCTGGAGGGGCATGCAGTCTTCTGTCAGCAACGGCCCCAGCAGGTCTGGGGTCCTGGAACCACCACCACCATCAATACATAGGGTCTTGTCGAAGCCCAGAGGGTCACCGACATCACAGTCGAAATCTCGCCCCATGGACCCGCCACTGCTGCTGCTCCGGGGGTGCATCCCCATCTCCGGCTCGCCCTCTGAGGGTAAACGCTTCAGCAGAGAGGCCGCCATTCTCGGCAACCGCTTGTTCACAACGTTGTGGTCCACCATTGTATGATGACCTGACTGAAAGGTAATGCAAAAAATACTTAACACATCAGTCAAGTTATTGCAGGAGTTTTCCCTGACCACAGCCCTATTTATGATCAATGCATGATGAATGCGCGTATAACGAAAGTGAGCTAGGTAGGAACTGTAATTAATCGTGATTGAACATTACAGGAACCACAGCAAAATAATGAACTAGTAACTCAGTTAAGTTAGTCAAGCAAACTAGGTCGAAATGTTTTCTATACTGAATTTGCAAGCCAAACCATTACCTGTCCAAATCCAGCAGGATAAGCTCACTTTCGTTATCCGCACAAGAGTTCCGCAATGACAAGTTGTGACAAGCCCTGTTTGGCTTCCTAATGCATAGCAAGACGTTAATCTTTCAATTCATTAGTGCCATAGCGTTACTTTCACATTAAATGCTATAGCTGTGAACATAAAACTTAAATGGTTACCGTAACCCCGAAATGTCAATTGAAAGTTCCTGATGTTTCTGAAGGTTGACGTTCCCTCGATGGATTTGGACACGAGCAGAAGCTTGTGACGTGTTTGGGGTAAAACAATATTGTTGAGGTTTAGCTACACACATCTACAATCTTGATGGTGAGTCGTCGTTGGAAGGGAAATGTCAAAAATGTTCTACTTCATATTCATCATCTCCAGCACCACCCCATCAACATATGTGAAAATTGCGCGTTTCTATGTTTAATAGAATATATATATATATATATATATATTTTTTTTTTTCGTGTTGTTAGTTTGTCTAGAAATGTGGGCTCCTGCATGCGGTGGAGCTGGGCAATTGCTAGATAAATACAGCTTATCAAGTTATTTTTTTTTGTTGCATTTTAGCTAACCTTAACCCTTTTCCTAACATTAACCTAATTCTCATCACCAATTACGTTAATTCTCATAACCTGCTGCTTAAATTCTCATAACTTGCTACGAATTGTCAATTCTGATATAAGATGTATCCAATGCTCATCATTGAGGCTGCCCTGTATGGAGTGACGTCTGTGTCACGTGTTTGAATTTGCAGGCAAGTGGTGTACATCTAAATGAATGCCGACGCAAATGTACAATACATTGATTGGTTCAGTTATTGATTAGGTTGTGAATGTGTCATAAGATTTGTATTCAAGCAGTAGATACATTGTTTGGTTTGAGGTTGCATGTGTTTTTGTGGCCCACTGCCGTACTCACCTGTTCAAACCAAGGTCAAGGCAGGGGTGAAGGTGACATAACATCGTCTGCTCACTAGAGGGCAGCAAAGTAGCTACGTAAATTAGCTGCCTGGTCTGAACTGCAGTGTAGGCTGTTCTGCAAGAGTGCAGGTTTTCATTTCAGCAATCACCCATCAAAAGAGTTAGAAACGATATCAAGAATTCCAAAACAGTGCTGAATGTTGCAGCCTGTACACCAGCATTTTAACACACATTGGCCCCAATTAAAAGCAACCTACATAAACAGGTTCACTGTTATATCCAACTCTAGCTCACAGCTTGCCTTTGTGGCGAACAACCAGGCCTCAAGCTAAATTACTGGAACATTTTTTTGTAATTCCTTCCTTAAGTTAATTATCAACTTAAAGTAATTCAGTTAAGTAGTCTAATTAAAACGCCATGTTGTAGTGACAATTCTGCATCACCAACAACACAACATTCTGGATTAGATATTCCTAACCCCCCCCCCCCCCCCCCCCCCCCCCCCCCCCCACACACACACACACAGTGGCAGTTAACCCAGCATTGCATTGTTCTACAGCTCTTGTCTGTCTCAGTTGGCTGGTAAACAGCTGCCGGGGCTGGCTTATGGAGGGGGAGGGAGGAGTAGTATAGTATGGATGGTGCGGTCTGGAGGATGTGGTGTTGGGGGTTCCAATTCCTAATAGCTGGAGGCTGAGGGGAAGGGGAGTCTGCTCGGGGGCTGACAGGGGCCTCTGAATGGGCAGCTGTATTCATCACTGTTGTTGGATCCCTCCTCCTGTAACTTTAGTAGGAGAACTCAAGCCAGAGTGGTAAACATGTCTGTCCCTGGATGGCATGTTTATAAAGCAATACACTCTGATGAAATACAACTTGTCAACCTTGGCATCGGTATTCTAGCCTGAAACATCTCTCCTCTTGGCCATTTGTTTAGACATCCGATCAGAGTGGTGAAACAGAGATTCATGACTTGTTCTCCTAAACTGGATTGTGAAAATACGTTCAACACTTATTTACTTTGAACATGTTATGGGTTCCAAATGGATGCTTCCTTCCTGCCAAGAAATGATACTAAATGTTGAACTCCTTCCAATTTCCCTGAAAACATTTCACTACTCTGGTCTTGCTGATAGCATTATGGGGCCCAGCCTCATTCAAATGAAGGAATTAAATGATGTCCCTATTCAGCCAAGTCAAACTTGCAGCAGGAGGTAGCGTCTGCACTAGTATAACAAATGTACAACCTTTATAATCACAAGAAGAATCAAACAACATTGGTGAGGGCCATTGCAACCTGAACCTAAAAGATCGAGATATGTTACATTAACTTTACCATTCTAAGACAACTTTGTGTGTGCTCGTAGATTTCCAGTTGACCTCTCAATAGAAGGTCGCCACTGGGCTATAGAGTTGACTGACATCTGGTGAAAAGAGTTGTGGATTTAGAGAGGCCGAAAGAAAAGTAAAATCAACCCATCGATCTATCCTCCTCCGCAAGTACCCTCCCCCTTTCTTTTAGCCCCTGTTGACCTCTGCCCTTTTCTTTCTTCTCATTTCACCCCCACCTGTTCCTGTTCCCTCATCCCTCCTGCTCCGCCTTTCATCTCCCATCTGCCAGAGTAGCTCTAGGAGGAGAGAGAGGAATAGAGGGATATGGGGAGTGAGGGACAGGAGGATAATAATTATAATAGTCATTTAGCAGACGCTCTTATCCAGAGCGACTTACAGGAACAATTAGGGTTAAGTGCCTTGCTCAGGGGCACATCGACAGATTTTTCACCTAGTCGGCTCGGGGATTAGAACCAGCAACCTTTCGGTTACTGGCACAACGCTCTTAACCACTAAGCTACCTGCCGCCCATAGAGGGAGGGATATGAGGAGCGAGGGACAGGAGGATAGAGGGAGGGATATGAGGAGCCAGGGACAGGAGGATAGAGGGAGGGATATGAGGAGCGAGGGACAGGAGGATAGAGGGAGGGATATGAGGAGCGAGGGACAGGAGGATAGAGGGAGGGATATGAGGAGCGAGGGACAGGAGGATAGAGGGAGGGATATGAGGAGCGAGGGACAGGAGGATAGAGGGAGGGATATGAGGAGCGAGGGACAGGAGGATAGAGGGAGGGATATGAGGAGCCAGGGACAGGAGGATAGAGGGAGGGATATGAGGAGCCAGGGACAGGAGGATAGAGGGAGGGATATGAGGAGCCAGGGACAGGAGGATAGAGGGAGGGATATGAGGAGCGAGGGACAGGAGGATAGAGGGAGGGATATGAGGAGCGAGGGACAGGAGGATAGAGGGAGGGATATGAGGAGCGAGGGACAGGAGGATAGAGGGAGGGATATGAGGAGCCAGGGACAGGAGGATAGAGGGAGGGATATGAGGACAGGAGGATAGAGGGAGGGATATGAGGAGCGAGGGACAGGAGGATAGAGGGAGGGATATGAGGAGCGAGGGACAGGAGGATAGAGGGAGGGATATGAGGAGCGAGGGACAGGAGGATAGAGGGAGGGATATGAGGAGCGAGGGACAGGAGGATAGAGGGAGGGATATGAGGACCGAGGTACAGGAGGAGAGGTAGGAGTGAAGACTGGCAGATCTCGCTATAGGTGAGGGGATTGTGAGTCACATTGTAAAATTGATGTCTGTTCCTCAAACTGATAAACCATTTAATATTATGTATTTCAACGCATTTGTTTATGATCAAAAAATGGTATACAGGAAGTGATTTGTCTGTGGAAGTTTAGACTTTTTGGAAACGGATCAAACGATAGTTTAGGATAAAAATATTTAAAGACGGGGAGGGATATCAATGTATTTAGCCATTGTTTTCTTGGACATGGCAGATGCTAAATGAAAAAACTAGATACTTGCACATCCATGTCACACACAAATGACCCTAGTTGACACACGCCTTACAATATCTGACAATAGAGATATTCTTATTGGGATTGTGGTTGGGGCATTCGTCTTTGGGCCAGGCGACAAGAGTTTGTGGCCCGCTAGGGACCTTGTATTACAGTATCATAAGACAAGTACCATGTCTTTACACACACATGAAAAATAGCTATAACATCACATAGACACACACATACTTACCCTACATACACTTATCCCACATGCTTACACATGCACATGAGCAGCATATCAATGAGCACAACCTTCCACACCCAGCCACATGCTCCAGCACAACCCCCACCCCTCCTCTTGTCCCGTCCCAGTCAGACTGCAGTCTGGGGGTAAGAGGAGGTAGGAGTGGTGGCCAGAACAGCCTGGCTTTTCCCCTGAGGGTCTGTGGCACTTGGCCTGATTCTCCCCCAACTCTCCCTCTCCCCCTTGAGGGAAATGGTCTCTGGGCGGGGGTATTGTGAACCAGGCAGATGCTGGTCCTTTTAATGGGAGTGATGGGAGGGCTGGGGTAACTCTGTGAATCCTCTTCCCAGGTTCCCATGCCCCGTGGCAGGCTCGTGTCACACCCCTCGAGGGGATACAGATGACACAGCACCAGAGAGGGAGAGAGACCAGGCACACAGTCCATCTGCTCCTTGACACAAAGACCTCTCAGGTATACCTATAGATATGCACAGCATTGGTCTGCAAACAAAGGCAACAGGTATGCTAACTTACTGGTGAACAGAGTGTGATATTGAGATAAGATTCTTTGACCTACTACTATATGATGAAAATGTAGCTATAAAACACAGTATGAGACAGAGAGTAAAATAGAACCATCATTACTGTATGTGAAGACAATAGCACTATGTAATAACCAGAGAAAACAATATAGGAATGGTAATGTACTGTACCAGTCAATAGTTTGGACACACCTACTCATTCAAGGGTTTTTCTTTATTTTTACTATTTTCTACATTGTAGAATAATAGTGAAGACATCAAAACTATGAAATAACACATATGGAATCATGTAGTAACCCAAAAAAAAGTGTTAAACAAATGAAAATATATTTTATATTTGAGATTCTTCAAAGTAGCCACCCTTTGCCTTGATGGACAGCTTTGCACACTCTTGGCATTCTCTCAACCAGCTTCATGAGGTAGTCACCTGGAATGCATTTCAATTAAAAGGTGTGCCTTGTTAAAAGTTAATTTATGGAATTTATTTCCTTCTTAATGCATTTGAGCCAATCACTTGTGTTGTGACAAGGTAGGGGTGGTATACAGAAGATAGCCCTATTTGGTAAAAGACCAAGTCCATATTATGGCAAGAACAGCTCAAATAAGCAAAGAGAAACGACAGTCCATCATTACTTTAAGACATGAAGGTCAGTCAATCCGGAAAGTTTCAAGAACTTTGAACGTTTCTTCAAGTGCACTCGCAAAAACCATCAAGCGCTATGATGAAAATGGCTCTCATGAGGACCGCCACAGGAATGGAAGACCCAGAGTTACCTCTGCTGCAGAGGACAAGTTCATTAGAGTTACCAGCCTCAGAAATTGCAGCC